GCAGCACGCCTACACGGCACTCGCAGGATCACTCTTCCCACTCTGGGAGCCAAGAGGAAGCTCTCCACCAAGAGAAAGCACAGTGCTGAGTGATCAAAAGTCCCGCTGAGGGACAAGCTGGCTAGCTGGGGCTCAGGACCACCAGAGCAAAGCACACCCACCTCTGCTGCACAAGGCTTCACAAGAAAGAGTGGCTTTGGAGGACAGAGTATGATTTCTTGGTCGAATGGACTGTGTTGTGCACCTCTCTCTGTCTCCTTCTGCCCCTGCCTCTCTCGATGATCTCCTGGTGAGAAAGGTGGGGATGTAGCTACAGACCACTGGATACTCCTTTTTACAACTGTGTTAATCAGATTTGCTCCAACCAGGGGTAAAAATACCAGAAGCAAGTTGGGGTTGTCTTTTCCAGCTACCTTTCCTATCAAGGTAAGACACTGGCAAGAGGAAAACCTCTGTGTAGGTATGTTCATAGCACAGGGTTTCTTGTGCAGCCAAATCAGTGACTTCCACAAAGGAAAGAGAGACTGGGTGAAAGTATACGAAGGTTCTCTCCAAAATCTTAGATAACCTTGTTGAAAGCCAGTGGAACCTTCAGATATATGGTATATACCGGGGGAATCCTATCCTGTCCCTTGGACATCTATTTGACATGCACACTTACGAGGTGCTAAGATGCCCTACAAGATGAAATCCTTTCATTGCCTCCTGCAGAAATCTTAACAAGTGGAAAAGGGTTGGTTTTTTTTCCCCTGCTTTCTACAATTTGCACGACCTGCTCAAAGCTGTAGCTCTGACAAACGTCACAGACAGCTGCCTGCCACGTGCAGTGAAGCAGAGGTGCTCTGCACACACCGGGATCAGCCGCAAAGTGGAGCCGGCAATGGAGTGGCTCTGCACGCGCTGATCACCCGTGGGGCACATGCAACTGCAATTCCTCCTAAGGATGTCCCTTAAAAACGGCCAAAACATGGGCCGACACAGGGAGGGGAGTGCTCCGAAAAGGCTGTTATTGTGGCAGATACAGCTCAGGCCACCGATTACAGTGAAAAATAACCCTTTTCCTCATTATTGGCCACTTTCGACCACAGTCTGCTCCTTCAAGCAGTTCAGAGTACAACCCGCTGCGTGGTTCTAGTAGCCCAACAGAGAGATGGGGAGAAACCAGCCTCACCGACAACTCCTTCCTGCTAGAAAACTGTGGCCTGAGGTACCAAACTGATGAAGCACCCGGTTGGTGCACTCTCGCTAAAGCAGACTGCTGAAAACCTCCAACCTCCAAGAAGCTATCTTCGGCAGCAGCGGTTGAAGTGACAAAACATGTTAACCTATCTCCCCAACACTATCTATTCGACTGGGAATGGAGCTGTGTTGATTATGTGCACCCTACATGACTACAGCAACAGCTTAGAGCAGTGGAAAATCCCAGCCTTAGCACATCATCGTCTTCAGTAATTTTTCCCATTTCCTGAAGAAAAGGTAATGGGAAAATATAGCCGCACTTAACACCAATATTTGGTACTACACGCTTGGTTCTTCGCCTCTTCTAAACATCGCCCTTTTTCAAGCGACCCTAGCTTGGAATCACAGCTGTGTTTCTAGTGCTTTCGAGTGTGAAGATCATATTCACAGCAATCAACCGTATTGTTTCCATATTAACTTCGCCTCACAGGAAGCTGTTTGGAGCCAAGCAGCGACACCCACAAAGGTGCTAATGCTGCTCTCTTCTGTGTCATGGGCTTCAAGGAGGTGTTAACCTCACAGTCTGCAGAACACTATTTATTTGGTGATTTTAAAGAGCAACGTGCAGTTTAAAGGGGCACATCTGCTCTCTGAAATGGTACCCAGTAGGCCAGGTCTGCATGAAAAGTTTTCAGCAGTAGAATGTGTTTGTGGTATTCTTATTTTACAGTTAGCCATAATGATACATGGGGTTTTAGGTGACTCAACTCTACCTACCTTATGACATATTTTGTCACTTGCTACTTCAGTTGCGTCATTATTCAAAATTTTCTCATCTAGACCAGAAATACCTATCTAAGGCTAAAGGATACACAGAAATCCCCAAAAGACACTCTGCTTTCTTTTCATTTTTTTAAGATAGTTTCATAACCATCTCCAGTCTTAAAAAAAAAAACCCAAACAAACCATATTTCTTCAAAACATAAACTCAGGAACAGGGAATTGCTCGCTACTGAGTACTGCATCCAACCCACTACAAGCTAGAGCATACCAGAGGGATATGTTCAAGGACTCTGAGCAGTGGCGACACCACTGCTCCACCAAGAAACTCTATTAGTTAAATATTCTCCCCAATTAAGGTTTTCTGCTGGGGTGGGCTCCTGCACGTCTTGTTCCTAGCAAGTCCTTCAAGCCCTCCAGCTTGGAAAGAGATCAGTGTTCTCAAGATCACTTTAGCCTACATAGTTTTTTTTTTTCCCCCTTCTATTTATCTGGCACACCCTCTGTTTGCCTGTGGTTATATCTCTGCTTAAACAGTAAAGTCAGTCTAGCCACACTCAAACTCCTTTACTGGAGACAGACTAGTTGAGTTCTTTTACTTGGACTGCTTAAGCCAATTCTCCAGAATCAGCTTTACTGCAAAACTGCTCTCCTGTGTCCATGCAGTATTGTTGGACTCTGTTAGGTGATTCTCCTGTCACAGCCGTTTCTGCTTGGGGCAAGGGGGTGTGTATGATTGGGGTTTTTTTCCATAACTTTCTCAGCTTTGACAACAAAATCTTTACAGGCAGACCAAGCTTCAGTAACAACTGCTGCAGAAGAGAATGAGTAGCTCCTCTGTTTAATGGCACCTACAAGCTGACCTACAGGCTACCTGGGCAATGAAATAACGTGACGATGTGATTTGAACCTAGAAGTCCAGATGACATCCTGTAGCTTCAAGAGCAATGCATTTCAGCCACAGAAAAGTTTGCCATTTCCTTTCTTTATAACTAACCGATATCCTGCCAATATGACTTTTGTTGTATTCCTGCCCGGGCCATTCAAAAATCCTAGGAATCGGCCTGAGACAACATCTGCCAGTCTAGCACAACCACGAGTTACCCGCAGTGTCCTGATGGGACCCTATGTGCTGCCTCCCCACACCACCAGGTGCAAGGGTAATAACCTGAAAGGTGCAATACAAATTTCCTAGATCTTCAAAGAGATTAAACAAAAGGCAGTAAGACATAGTCACATCCACCCTCAAGGATATGTTAAAGTTCAGTGAGCACAAAATCACACTGCCAAGTTGTTCACTGAGGATCATCTTAGCCAAAACATCAACTTAAAGTAACCACTCCGGTTTCAAGCCTCTGACCACATCTCCTTTGGTATCAAAGCCTTCCTCTGCTCCTGCCCTGCTTCCCCTTCTTTAAAGTTCTGTTCCATCAGTTATGAAATTTATGCAACAGGCTGGTGTAGGACTTAAACTTCATGGAAAAGTTACATTGACTCAGCAGGCTTTAGGATCAGAAATCACATCAGAAACGTGTAAATAAATTATTTTAATTAACAAATTACCAGAAGCTCCTAGGCTGGATACTTCATTTGCACTCTTTATGCTACAAAAGCCCAAAACCAGTGGGCGCAAAGCCTGCAAGAGATGTTACAGAACCTATGGGCCTTCACACAGAATTCAGGTCCAGCCATCCACAGTTTTTAATTACGGATCAAATGCGCAGAGAGAAGGAACACGTTTGACCTAGATTCCTACCATGGATCATTTGCATTCTTCCCATCACCTGCTGAGAAGGATGCACCAAGCACCAAGAGCAAAGGAAAAGAGACAACAGTGAAGTCAGTCCCAGAGAGAGAGGATTAGAAGCTGCATATCCCTCACTAACAAGAACACAGCTGCTGGAGCTGGCCCTCATCTTCATAGAATACCAGGTTGGAAGGGACCTCAAGGATCATCTGGTCCAACCTTTCTAGGCAAGTCTTGTCACCCCCCTTCCTTGGCATCCTATGTCTCTGGCCCTCTCATTCCAGGCCTCACTAATTATTTCAGGTCAAGTAATAAATTAACCGAGAGCCCTCTTTGCAACCCACAAGGCCAACCCCACCGGCAGAACAGGTGCCCAACAGCTCACCACATCTTCGGTATCCTTTCCAGCTTGGATATCTGCATCAACCAGATACTTCAGAGTTACTTGGGGATTGCACCTCTTCTAACTCTGTGTTGATGTATCTACAGGTAAAGCCTCCTAAGTCATCCAAAAAGATACTCATTAAGCAATCTAACAAATATGTCTGGATATGTAAATGCACCCTCTGCTCCTGCCA